AAAAAGGATCACTCTAAGTAGGGAAAGTGGTAAGGGTAGGGGAAAGGAAAGAAAGGAAAAAAAATATGAGAAAAGGAAAAAATGAAAACAGGGAAGGGTGGAGGGAGTGAAAGAGGGCAGGGGAATGGGGAAAAAAAAAGAACCAAGATCATGTAAAAGTACAAGATCCCAATGATGAATGTAACTGTACTGTATACCTAAAAAGTACCAATAAACTCAATGAAAAAAAAAAGGATCACTCTGTTTGATGGAGAATAGAATTTAGTGGTCACAGGGAAAAAGCAAAGAAAGCAGTTACAATAATACAGTGGAGAGAGATAGCTGGAGGTGATAAATAGTTGGATTCTGAATATATTGTAGATATATTTTAAGATTTTCCAAACTATGAATTTATGGTTACTCTCTTCCTCTTCCTCTGAGTTTTTTTTTAACAGATAAATATCAGACCTTCATTATTGTAGAGTCCAAAAACTTGAGGCTGTAGAAGCTCAGTTGCCAAAGATTTGATTAGTGGTTTTCACTGATTTTAAAGAATCTTTGAAGTAAGGAATAAGCATAATGAAGAACAAAAGAAAAAAATGAGTAAAATTAGGATGAGGAATCTCTACATTAGTATATCGTATTTTTACATAGTTCCTATAGTGAGATATTTATGAATATCATCTCATTTAAGCCTTGGAATAATCCAGTGAAAACAGAACTTTTACTCTCTTATGAGGAAGCAAAGCAAGACAGAACATCTGTCTTTAATGAACTTCTGGTTATAAGTATGGCATTGAGGCTTAGAAAATTATTGCTGGAAAATGTAGTTCTTTTTCACTATTTCATTCAACAAGTGCTAAATGTTAGCAAAAAAAGGATCTTTCTTTCCCAAAACTTTCATTCTGATATTGGGATCCAAGTAATTAAAAAAAATGTAAAACCTCTCAGTTGAGGATAAATGCTATAGAAAGAAAAACAATCAGGCTGCAAAGCTCCTGTATTCTCCACAAGCTGGTCAGTGCGGATCTCTCTGCTGGAGTCCCAAGGAAGTGACTAAGATGTGAAGGCAGTGAGAAAGGGTGGCAAACAAATATCTCAAGAGCAAGCTCTGCAGCCACAGGGAGCAACAGCTAGCGTGAAATTTGGGGAAGACGCTGGGGGTGTTCCTAGAAGAGTAAAGAACCAATCCGACAGGAGAGAAGGAAGCAAGGGCCGGGATGGTAGAAGTCAAAGGGGTAACAATAGGTACATGGGGTGGCTGAGACATCAATTACTGGAAGGCAATGACCCATAGTCCAGGAGAGAAATGATGGTAACTTAGACCAGGTTAGAAGGGGTAGCCATAGAGAGAAATAATAAAATGTACGACATACTTTGAGGATTTACAGACAAATTTTTATTACGAGTAAGAGGAGGATAAGTTTTTGACCTGAGCTCCAGGGAATATGAAATTGTAGGAGATCAAAAAGTACGGTGAATGTTTCCTTTTTTCTCTTTAAGATTTAGCACAGTAAAAGACAGACTGCCATTAATCCCCATCAAAACGCACCCTCTTGTTTCAAAAAGCACAGCGGTCTCATTTAGACACTCTCTGAAACAGGTCTGGAAATCCTCTTTGGTGACTTCACTTGCCCTGCAATGGCTGCCTTATGTCCTGAATTGATTCAAAGACCTTTCATGGTCTTTTTAACTTTGGAGAAGAACCAGAAGTCACATGGGGCCAGATTCAGTGAATAAGGTGGGTGAGAATGCCCTGCTATGTTTTTACGATCCTGCCTTTCTACTGGATGGCACTCAGCAGTAGCGGTCACTGTGTTTTTAATCACACCTTATAAAGACACTCACAAAAGACAACTTCCAGACCTGCTGCAGAACACCGCCAGAATGAAGGGATGGGAGTGTTTGCAACAAGAGGGAGTATATTTTTCTCATTTCCTGTACAATGTTTTGGTGCTGTTGAAAGATAAAATGATCAAAGAATTCTACCTAAGAACTCAGGGAGGAAAAAAAAAGCTAAATTTGTTGAAAGATTCAATAAATAGGGAACTGAATCTGCAGAGCATTCATGTATAAAACTTGAAGTGGAACTTTACTTGACCTTTTGATTCATACTCTAGCACCATAGGAATCACTGGGAAAATCTCAGGCCAACCCCAGACCTCCGGACTCAGAATCAGCATTTTAGTAAAAACCTCAGGAAATCTGTGTGCATGTTAAAATTTGAAAATCTCTGATGTAAGCATCTGTTGCCCTTGAAGTATCACTGACAAAGCTGGTGGAAGGAAGGAAATATTGGTCAGCCCACACCAGACTGCCATGGAGAATGGACGGATACCTAAACCTGCCTTCTCAGGTTTCAATGAAAAATCCAGGAAGCTCCTCAGTTTGTTAAGTAAATGAAGATTGGTGAAGGAGGAATTTGGGGGGAAAAATGAGCCCTTAATCAAGTACAGTCCCAGACCAGTTACCACTAAAGGAATGGAAACTATAGTGAAGGAGCGACAGTAACTGGAATTTCCAGATGCACGGGAAATGTGAACTTTAAAGACCTTCACAAACACAAACATTTCTGCAAAAGCTCCAGAGGCCGCAGTGTACCGCGCTTTCTTGCACTGCGCTGAATTCTAACATCTCCTATAGAGGGACTCTCAGGCCAACGGGCCCAGCTGAGCCCACCAGGAGTAGGATCCAAGAACTATGTGTTCTAAAACAAACCAACACACGTGCTCTTGCTATTCCGCAAGTGCTTCTTGGAGGGGTCTCTTCCTGCTACACCACAGTGTTGAGTGAGGGGGCGGAGAGAGTTATACCATCATCCCATATCGTCTTCTCATCCCACCACAATTGCTGGGGCCCTCGCAGAGCGTTACATGAACCTGTCATCAAGGTTGAGCTGAAAATTTTAAGTGACACACCAGTAAGATGGGACTGTGCATTAAAGGAATTCAGCCTCAAACCAAATTACTTAAGGCCCTACTGCCAGTTACACCAGAGAATGTAGGTGTGTCGGTGCTGATATCTCACAAAGGAAATGAAAAGCAAAATTTCTTAAAGCACTTAATAGTATTAATTTTAGGTTAGGAGCTAGGCTAAGTATATTTCATTGCTGTTTTCACCTTTACTCTTCAAATATAGTACCCTCAAAAGTTCGGGTTGTCTATATCTTTATCATTTTATACATCAGGGAACCAGGACTCAAAAAGGTTCAGTCACTTTTCTAAGGCCACATGGTAATAACATAAGTGGGATGCAAACTTGGGTCACCTGATTCCAAAACTTTATACCTCTCTAGTAATTGAGCTGATTTCCCCTTATTATCTTCCCAGCCCTCTAAATATAAAGTTAACCATGATAGAGTTTATGAGACACCCCACTTACCTTCTACTTATTAAAGAGCATGAGAAATCACTGCAGCTGAAGTGGAAAATGTAGACTGCTCATGTTGATTTGGCCTTCACAAGGGCCTTTACAATAGAAGTAGGATCCATCTACCTTTCCAAAGCCGGTTGGCTAGTGGACTTGGGTTTCAACTGTTCCCATCAAGAAGCAGGGAGGGATATGGGAGCATCGGCTCTGACTTGGAGGACACTGGCATTAGAGGATGACAAGGCACCAAGAGAAGAATCAAGGTGACTGGTGATCCCTAAGAGAAGCAGACAGCCAGCAGAAAGCCTTTTAAACCCTCAAAGAGATTCCTACTATGCTGCTACTGGATTCTAGGGAAGGGTCAGAGGATCCACACCATTCCCTAGAGCCACACTTGCCCAGGTTTCCAGGAGCACTCCACACAGAACTGGCAGATTTATAAGTCAGCAGGAAGCCAGCCTGCTGCCCAGACACTATTATTGGAACAGGCTAGAACTTGGAGTCTGGCTGGTTCAGCTGCCAGGAACACCTTGCCAGCCACTGCAGGTGCTGGCTGCTGCTTGGCTCTCTCTTTGGAACAGGAGAGTGCAAAAAAAATATTACATGGACATTCAGTTTAGGGAAGCAAGTCTACCAATGTGCCTGAGTCTCGTAATTGTATTTCCATATAGAAGAGTTGGGATGTGGAGACATTATGAGCTTATTTTAAACATAGACACATAATCAGAGTAGGGGAAGGACTTTCTCATAATGGTTCCTGGTCAACAGAATAAGCACAAACACTTCAAATAAATATATTTTAGGATCAACAACCCCACACAACAGAAACATGTTCTATGAATGTGAGGTTACAAAGGATCACAGGAGAAAGAAGAAAGCTTTAAGTTATTAGGGAAAGAACAGATGACATTTTCAAATACCCAGATGAGAGAGCACTGACTCGGGCTAGGAGTCCACAGTGATACACTGAGCCACGTGCATAAGGGGAGGAGCTGGGGGAGATGGCAGGATCTAAATGAGTATAGTGTGCATTTTGGGACTCCCTGGGATGAGAAATCTCAGTGGAAGATTTTGACAAACAGGAACAGAGACTCTCCAGAGCATGGTTAACCAGAGAGGTGCTAGAAGGTGATTCCCAGAGCCGTTCATGCCCCACACTGCATACTCACCAGCTGATGGGCCAACCACAGCCATAAAGATTTACCTTATCTATTCCATAGCCATCAATAAGAATTCAAGCAACGTAAAAAATTCTATTAAGTGCTAAGGAACATACCTGTCCTCCGTCCTTAAGATGCTACCACCCAGTAGGGAATACTAAGAAATATACACAAATCTCTATGACTCTAGTACACTGTGAGAGGTACTGAATCACATTTGCTGGATTGCTATTTGCTTTACAAAGACATTATTCTTCTTAAGGTTGCTTTTACCAGTGGAAAGGCTAAGACATTTTCAAGAGAGGCTGGTGGAGTAGATTGGTAATTAGTTCTGTGTGAATCCTATCACTTAGAAACCAAAGATGAGGACTGGAAATGAGTAAAAGGAGTTCAAGTTCTAAACAAACAGCTTGTAGACTCATGTGGTTGGAAATTATCCTTTTCATCCCTGGGCTAGAAGAGGAAGACACACAGGTTTTAAAGAGTTCTTACCCTGATTACATGACACTGTTCAGTTCCAAATACATTAGGAGGGCTTCGTTATTTTTTTCTAATCCTTCATCTTCTTTTGCCTGTACAGTAACAAAATTCTATTTCAGCTGTATCCTTAAAAAATAATCAAGGTACGATAACATTACCAAAGATTTCCAGCTCCTTGTACAAATGAGGCTGAGCTCTTCCATACAGCAATATATCATTAACTTGCCAACATCTGGACTGGGAGATGTGTGATGTTTTGAATCAAACTTCAAAGGTCAAGGGTAAGCAAGGACCTAGAATTACTATTGCATCTAAAATTATTTTACAGCCTTCAAAAGAACATGGAAAAAATGATTGCAATTCCCAAAATTATATGCTACCTTTGGGAAAAACACATTTCTGAGTCCTTGGAAGTGCAGAGGTAATGAAAGCAGGGCCAGGCCATTTTCCACATCGCAGTCAGTGCCAGACGGGAGGCAAGGAGGCTTGGGCACTGCCTTCCAGTCCCCACCTGTTGCCTGGAATTTGAGTGTAGGAGTTCATCATTTTCTCCCACAAACAGACAGCACTCCCCATTTTTCCATTACCTCCTTGTTTCCTAATCATGCAGATTTCAATCATTTTTTTTTATTCTTCCTGTTCTCACATCATTTATTCTATTATTTGACAATTACCTAACGACTGCCTGTGCCACAGGCTGTTGGGATTTAAATGGCCTCTGCTCTCTCAAATCCACAATTTATTTGGGGGAGACTAATAGACAATCAGTTACAATATATCAGTGTTCCTTAGAGAATTTAATGAGTTCTCCTAAATCAGATGCTTTGGTACAGAGCCTGGATGTCTTGTCGGCATTTAGCAATCCCTGACAGTGATATTTGTGACCACCAAAAATTGTAGAGCCATTCAGTGTATGAGTTTGTGCTACAGTGGGTTGCTAGTAAGCTAGAGAGAATAACACAGTGGGGAAAGCAGCTGGCCCTGATAGAAGGAAGAGAAGCTTGTCAGGAACGGCATTCTGTAGACTGAAGTCTAAGGTGAAATCTCAAGGGTTCAAAGCAATCACCCCAGCTAGGGGAAAAGAAGTGGAGGGTAGGTACAAAAACAAGAAATACTCCAGAGAGAAACAAGCCTTTAAAACAACCAGAAGTGAAGAAATCACTCAGAGTGGCTGGAGCTTTGAGTGTGAGATGAGGAGGAAGGCAAGGGAAGCGGGAAACAAATTAGTAAACATGTTTGAGCATTCCTGTGGAATTTGGGGCTTATCTTCAGGGAACTGAGGAACTACTGAAAGATTTTTAAGGTGAGGAAGAGAGAATTAAATAATCAGAGTGTTTCCCTCTCCTGATTACTATGGGTTCAAGCTTTCTTCGTGAACTCTAAGTTTTACAACCACTTTTAGGTGGAGATTCTTTTTCCAGCATTTCTTCTAAATTTGTCCATCTTTTTCCACTTCTAGAAACCTTACCCCAGTATTCCTAACCATGTCTAGGTTATAGCAACCTCTGTGAAGTGGTCAGTTGCTGTGTCAACCAGTCTTGCTCATTGCCTGTGCTCCTAAAACAGATTCCAGGGCCAGGGATTTAGCTCAGTAGTTCCGCTGCCTGCCTCACAAGGCAAGGACCCGAGTTCAATCACTGGTACTGCCCCCACCAAAAAAAAAAAAACTGATTCCAGTAATTTCATCAAGTTACTATCCTGCTCAAGAATCTTTCTCTTTTCTTCCTGGCATTACTTTTCTCATCTTAACCCTCAAAGCTTTCCACCATCCTCTTCTACCACCTCTGCCCCTTGGAACCTAAGAGTCTCCGTGCTCCATTAACCCTCCAGGTACAACATGACATTAGCTGGTATCTCCTGATGAAAGCGTTGCTCTTATCTGTGTAACTTCACTTTTTGACGCACCTTGAAGTCTGTTAGCTTTAATTATGGCATAAAAGGCTTCATTTTGTTTGTTTGTTTTGGGTTTTTTGCTAAAGATAACATTTATTATGCCTTTAATAAATATTCTCTTTTTTGAAATTTTCACTTTTTATTAGTACATGTTTGCAGCACACACTGTTTACATTCCTTGTGGAGACTTGGTACATGTACATAACACATCTTAATTTTTTTCATTCCCTTCCTCTCCCCTCCCTCACCCTTCCTTTATCTCTTGATCCTTTTCCCATTTGAGAAAGATTTATCTCTTTACTTCCTATTACCTATCTTTTATTTTACTCTTTATTTATATTTTGGGTTTACCATATAAGAGAACCTGTGTGATATTTAAGCTACGTGTCTGATTTATTTCACTTGTGAACATTATAGGACTTCCTTTACCCCAACATTACGGTCTCAAGGTGCATCCATCTTCCTATGAAGGACTCAAGTTTATCCTTCTTTTTGGCAGAGTGGTACTCCATTGTGTGTAAATATCACAATTTCTTTAGCCATTCATCTGTTGATGCATATCTAGGCCACTTGCAAGATTTAACTAGAAGGAATTTCAGACCTCAGCGAAAGGAGTAGGAAAGGTTTTATGAGAGCAAAGCTTCTTTGCGACTTCCCAACCTCACACGTTGTTTGAAAAAACTACCCAGAGAAGAACACACCATAGTGCTAAAATGACATCTTATGTTCAATTTCTATCCTACTGCTTCTCTCCACTTACTGTGAACCTGACATTTCACAGTTTACTGAGTTGGGATTTTTGTTGGTTTTTGTGCACTGTCAGGTTTTATGCTCTATTTTAGATGGTTAGAAAAAAGTTTGCCCTCATGGCTGGAACACGGGGGAATTTAAAATGTTCCGTTGCAGTACTGATGCTTGGGACGGTACTGTGCTAAATTCCCTCCCAACCCTCGGCCTGGCAGAAAGGAGCCTAGCCTGTCTTCTGGTAGCAGTGGCAGTGGCCTTTCCATCTCAGGATCAGTGCCCCAGTCTGGAGCTCCACCTCATGTGATGCAGTGGACCATCTGCTACCACTCCCCCGATCCCACCCAGTGCAATGTCCAGTGGGTTTTATCCAGTATCTGTTTTGGTTTATATCCAGATGTTCCCCCACAGTTTCAGGCAATAGGTAGGGCTTTTGGAAGGTAATTGAGGGACAGTCAGAAGAGGCAGGTGACAGGTAGGCTTGGGAAGGTCTCTCCCTCCCTGGCTTTTCCCTTTGCTTTCTGCCTCTTGGCTGCCATGACATGCACAGCTTTTCTCCTCCCGACCCTCGCGCTGTGTCCTCCTGCCCCAGAGCCTACCCACCATGGCCTTGAAAGGTAACCCAAAGTAAACTTCTCCTTCTGGGTCAGGGATTTTGTGGAAGGTGACTAAGATGGTATCTTCTCTTAGAAGATTTATGGACAAAATAAATATTTTTCCTTATTTCTCAGTTGAGTTTTCCTTTTCTCAGGTTCATCAAGCTGGCCACCTAAAAGTCACAGTCATTTATGGGTCATAAATTAGATCACTGGTGGAATTCCACAAAAGACAAAGACAGAAAGAGGCAGAGAGAGCTAGAGGGAGAGAGGGTGGGTAGACTTTTTTTGATCAACATTTTTTTTTCGGTATCAAGGATTGAACTTGGGGACCTTGTGCTTGTGAGGCAGGCAGCAGAACCACTGAGCTAAATCCTCAGCCCTAGATCAACACTTTCATAACTAACTTTAGAGATGCCCATCATCATATAGTCCTTTTGATACTTTTTGTTTAAAACAGCTTTAGTGAGATACAATTCATACACTATAAAATTTGTCCATAATTCAATGGTTATTAATATATTCACAGAACTGTGCAGCTAAAATCTAACTGTAGAAAATTCTCACACTCCATTCACCCACTGGCAACCATGAATCTACTTTTGTCTCTTCAGATTTGCTTATTTGGGAAATTTTATGTAAATGGAACAAGTGGTTTTTCATGAATGCCTCTTTTACCTGGCAAAATGTTTTCAGGTTTAATCCAAGTTATAGTATACATCACTACTTTGTTCCCTTTTTTGCCAAATGATATTTCACCATGCGAATCTACCTTATCTGTTTGCTTACTTCCACATCAGTTGTTTCTACTTTGAACTATCATCAGCAATGCTGCTATGAATATTCACATACAACTTTTTGTGGGAGATTTTTCCTGGTACTGGGGATGGAACCCAGGGCCTTTGTGCTGACTATATATCCTCATCCCTTTTTTATTTTAAGACAGGGTCTTGCTAGGTTGCCAAATTGCCCAGTTTGGGCTAGAACTTGCTATCCTGAGTGCCAGGATTACAGGCATTTGCCACTATGCCCAACATAGGGCCTATGAGCTTGCTTCTTAAGGGTAGACACATAGTTCTTTGCTACTTCTGTATTTAGCTTGAAACCAATTACTAAGCTGTTTCCACAGCAGCACCATTTCACATTTTACATGTGTGATAGCATGCAGAGGTTCCAATTTTGCCACATCCTCACCAACATTATCTAGTGTTTTCATTACAGTCATCCAAGTAATTAAAGCAGCATCTCACTGTGATTTTGATTTACATTTGCCAGATGACTGATGATGCAGGGAGTTCTTCCACTTACTTATTGGCCATTTTCATGTCATCTATAGAGAAAGGTCTACTCGGATCCTTTGCCTGTTTTTGAAATAGATTATTCTTGATTTTAGTAATCTGAGTCTTTAACCACTCTCCCCTTTGCCCTAGGCTCATCTACCTAAAGGTTTATCAACTTTCTGTATCTTTCAAAAATCCAACTTTTGGAGTCATTGATTTTTTTCACTGTTTTTCTATTCTTATTTTCACTGTTTATTATCATCTTCATTTTGCTTGGTTTAAATTCAGTATGTCTTATTTTTTTAGTTTCTTAATGGAGAAGTTAGATTACTAACCTGAGATCTTTTTTCTTTTTTAATATAAGCACTTATAGGATCAAATTAGCCTGAACACTGTGCTAGCTACATTCTGTAAATGTTAGTCTGTTGTGTTTTCATTTTCATTCATCTCAAAATATTGTCGAGTTTCCTGTGAGAGTTCTTTTCTGGCCTATGCATTATTTAGTAGTATGTTGTTTAATTTTCTCATAATGGTGAATTTTCCAAGTTCACTTCTGTCATTGATTCCTAATTTCATTAG